TTTTACTATGCTGAACCTGGACTTTGTCAATGTAAACAGGATGTGAACGGATCCTGCATTGCTTCTGAAGAAGGTGCTTTTGCATTATGGACAGATCAAGAAACAGAACACGAAGAAACAACAGCAACAACGACAACAGCAATCACAACAAAAGCAACAAAAACATCAAAAACAAGAAAAATAAGTAAGAAACTGTCACGTAGATAGATAAAACATGATAAATTGTTACTTACATCCTCGCTTACTCATAACTGCTTCTCAACACATTCGTGCTTTTCAACATTCGTATCTTTTTTTCACATGAGATCGTATTCTGTCTTAACAAAGTGGCCCACTTATTTCATACCAGAAATCACTTTATATTTACATGTATTGTCACGTTCATCTTCGATCGCTTCTGTGCACGGGGATACTAACATAAGGTGTAATTATATGAACCTTTCAGCAGCAATGACCGGTAACTAAGATGTTCATAAAAAAACAGATATGGAGTTATATCTGAAAATTAATTTGTCACCATTGGTAATGATACATGTATACTAAAAGAAGAAATAATAGATGCACTTTTTTTATATGGATTAATTTTGTGTGATTTGTTTGTTCGTCATTATCATCTTTTTAACGCCGGCCCTGGCAATGTGTTAACTCATTCAGACACCTTTTTCTGGAACAGACAATCCAGTGATATCTACTATACTCATCAAGAGAAATAGGGATACTCCAAAACCACTCTCAATTTCATAAATTGTTAGTGATACTAGTTGGCTCTCGTTTTGCCTTAGGGCACATTGAACGGCATCATCAAAATGTCGTGAATGTTGCTACGCGTGTAGGGTCTTTTAATCACAGACCGTGGAACAGTGAATGACGAACCACCGCACGTTGACTTCTGACAGTTGCCTCCTTCTTTTAGCCTGCAGACACTCAAGTAGGCCTCTCATAGTAATAGTCCGCTCCTATGGCGCTCATATCCAGGCGCATTGCCTGCCCACAGCGCCACAAAAGTACGTTCCGATACTCCCTGGGGATCATACAGCCACTCACATTGAGAGCACATCCTCACGGGTACCCATTTTACAGCTGGGTGAACAAAGACAATGTGGATCTAAGTATCTTGTTCAAGGATACTACGAAAATGTGCCCACATCGGAACCCGAACCTAGAACCGGGCCTTCAGCGTCATATGCGGACGCCTTACCACTGCACTACGGCGCTCCATAGTTCAGTCAGAACTGTCAGATGCATACAATATTGCCGATGTGACTGTGAATCTTAACTCACTCACCCAGGTGCATACACTGTATGCAAGTAATAGAAAATGTATGACTTGCAGAATAATTACGAGTGGCAGACATAATGATCCTATGAGTGACTGCGTGAGTTCAGATTTATAGTTACACCTGAAATATTTCAGCCATACTGGGACTATAAAAAATTGATACTACATGTTGTTTAGTTACAATAGAATGTTTAACAAATCATACTAAATGATCACTTGTATTTCTATTTTTGCGGGCAAAGGTACTGTAAGTCCCCATGGTCCCTAGTATGGTGATCTACCTTCAGTTGTTGGCGATATATAGCCTGCGCTGTTGTTATCTTGTATTGTTCCACACTAGTTTTAATTCAAATTGTTATATTCTAGTTGTTTTACTGTCCTTCCATGACAGGTTTTTATAATAAACACATATTCCATTTCAATGTAAAATATGTTCTCGTCATGATATGGCTGAAATATTGCCGGAGTGACGTGAAATATGTACTCACTCACTCACTCACTCTAGTTTTGCGGGAGTGGTGGGGTAGCCTACTGGTTACGCATGCACTCGTCACTGTGTGAAACCCATGCTGGAATATTGCTAAAAGCGGCGTAAAGTTGAACACACTTACTCTAGCTTTCCGGAAACCGGAATGAATGTTGTAATTAGCCTATTGGTGTCCAGATATCGAATTAATCTATCACATATCATTCGTACCATTGCTTTACAGCCACAGCTGGTAAAAGATATTATTCTGTAATGTGAATGATCTGTACGAATCCGACCAGGCTTTTGAATAGGGACAACACTGGCATTATGAAGCCCATTTTAGACCCAGTGTGACTTAAAATCTTAACTCGCTCACTCACTACAATTTTCTTAGTCACGATATGGCTGTAATACTGCCAATATTACTTTAACTCACTCACTCACCCAAATCAATTCTGAAGCAGTTTATGGTTGTTTTGCTAATACATTTCCCTCATGATGTATTTAACTTGTTTTTGTGTATGTAATTTCTTTTGTTTCAGACCGAAATGAAACCCACTATCTCATTTGTTCTCAAGAAGAACTTTATTGGTACCAGTATGGCAAGTCGAGACACATAGCAAAGAAACGGTTGAAGCGAAACATCTACCCAACTGAAGTGGACTACGACCATTCTATGAACACCCTCTATTTTCTGTCAGAAGACCTGAGAGGTGGCATTTGTTATTTCACCATATCGATAGGAAAGATCGGTCCGATGAATGTAATGCTTAAAGGTAAGTAATGGAAGGTTAATATATCTACTGTGTTCTGCAATTGGTTAAATGACATGTATTCGAGTTCAACCTAGACTTAAATGACATTTTTTTGCATGATTGATTTTCAATTCACAGTCACGCTGCAATATTTCAGCCATATTGTGACTGGAAAAAGCTGTATTGTTACTATACGTTAAAAAAGGCCGCTAAGAAAATTTTCATAACTAGTCCGACTGCCCTGCATGTACAGTTTGTAGTTATTCCAACTGACAAGGCCTCAAATAACATAACCACTTATTGTACACGCCAATACATAAATCAAATATAGCTGCGAGCAGCGATGTCGGGCTCCTTGGGTTTAATAAAATCTAGCCATTTGTGTCTGTCACGTACTTGTGACAATATTAATGTCTACAGTTAATATGGAGCATGTCACTGAGTAATGATAAATACTTCATTCATTAACTGTAAATTCTTATGGTAGAGGGTTAGATACAAAGCATTGTGTGGTATGGTTTGCATAATTATACGCATGGCAAACCACTTAGCCACTGATCCACCGCTAGACCTGCTACCACGAGACGATAGACCACACGATACACCACCGAGTCAACACTTTCCTGCAGTATACTAGTGACCTTATCAACATCAAGGGATGTAAGAGACTCAGCAACATTACCCATATAATCGTCACATCTTTCCTTTCTCCAGACAAACTTAGGAACATCATACACATATTTCACATTCACTTCATCATGCTCAAATGATACCTTTACACGCCTAACATTAAAAGTAGTTATGATAGGAAAATGGTCAGACTCAGGGCGGGTGTCAAACTTAAAGTCTGTAATACGATGGAAACGTTATATGAACACAATACATAGTCAACAAGGCTTGCGCCGTTTTCCTTAAAACATGTATATGCCACTTGTTCGTCACCTGTGAATTGTCCATTAACTATATGTACTGCAAATGTACAACACAAATAATTCAACTCTCTTCCATAGTCATTACACATCATCTCTGGAATTGCTAGTAGTGTTAAATGAGTCAGAAACATAGTCCATAACCTCTAAGCGTGTAATATATGTGTTACATCGACTATGTAGTCATTCATAGTACCAGTCCTCGCGTTATAGTCACCTGGTAGAATAATGTCACAATCAGGGTGGTCATATATGGTCGCATATAGAGTTCTATAATATTAACTCATTCATATTTCAGGCAACTGCACCCGTGAAGAGCCACCTCCTCGTGGTGGGTGCTAGGTAACGCTAAGCGCTCTTCAACCCCCCGTTGTGGATCCGGGGGTATATTTGGTCCACCAACCCGTTTGCCGTGGGTTGCGCCCCTGTGTCGGTGGAGGAAGGTAGTCTGGTGGTTGAGGGCACTGGTTCCAGGAATAGTGTTCCTTTGCCCAACACACCACCTCGGCCCTAACTTCACCTGGACGGGTGGTTGAATTGGCCCGGTTCAATCAATCGGCTGGTCACGCCAAGCCCTGTGCATGGTAACTATTTTTGCACAAATTTTGATTTATTCCAAAATATACTGTATAGTCTTGGCGATAAATGTTTGTTGAAAACATTATTATTGAATTGTTAGTTTGCCTAGAGTCTTACGCCAGAAGGCGGTGGCTCATGGGCCAATCCGGTAGGACTTATCTTTTCAAAAATATTCCTGCTTGAGTATACCTTCCTAGTGTCCTTGGTGTCGTATGTTGGAGATCCACAGACATGAGACATCGTCCTTGTTGACACTCCATGGCGGGTGGGGAGCTAGGAGGGTGAATCATATATATTTCAACCATGGCGCCCCCACTTAAAAAACGGACACAAATCTGACGATTCGTCGTCTTCAGAAGATGAAGTCCAAACAACTTTCACCAACCCTGATAATTGGCCTCGATTCCTGGTAATGTGTGCACCTGATGGTGGCCCTCTCAAGTTAAATCCCTTTGCTGTATCAAAGGGTATAGAAGGTTTGGCTGAAGAGGTGAAAGAAATCAAAACGTTGCGTTCTGGTTCCTTGCTAATTGAATGCAAGAATGAAATCCAATCAAATATTCTCTCCGAAAAACCTCATTATTAGCTAATGTTCCTGTGGAGGTGTCCCATCACAGGACATTAAATCATAGCAAAGGCATCGTCCGTGATATTGGACGTTGCCTTTCAGACATGAGTGAACATGACATTGTCACAGAGTTACATTCTCAAGGCGTTACTCATGTCAAACGCTTCACTGCTAAAATGAATAATGAACTTTTCCAAACAAATACCTATCTCCTCACATTTTGTTTACCTGTACACCCACAATCACTGAAAGCAGGTTATTGTAGATTAAAGGGTTGATACTTTTATCCCCAATCCATTAAGATGTTATTCTTGCCAGAAATATGGTCACGGCTCCAAGTCTTGCAACAATCCAGCGGCATGCCAACGGTGTGCTGGAGCATGCGAAGACAGTAGCCTGTGTGATAACACACCTGTTTGTGTCAACTGCTCTGGTTGCCATTCCTCTTCATCCAAGGAATGTCCTTCCTGGAAGTTGCAGTCAAAAATATCGCGAGTGAAACATGAGCGAAACGTGTTATTTTTCGAAGCAAAACAATGTCAGAATGTAACTCTGTGACAATGTCATGTTCACTCATGTCCGAAAGGCAACGTCCAATATCACGGACGATGCCTTTGCTACATCTCCGACTTATGCTACCACTGTCTCTGCTTCGGTTCAGGCCTCTAAATCCAAACTTGTTTCATGTACTTCAGTAGGTTGTCAAACGGACTATACCTGGGCCAGAACATCGGCTCCTACCTTGCTGTCTGCAAAGGTTACTTCCAGTGCACAAACAATATCTTCACAAACATTCAGTCAGGCAAGTTCATCATCTGAGACAGAAACATCTCCATCTCAGAAACAACAGTCTAAATCATCAGACACAAATGTGAAAGCAAATGTGAAAGCAACTGTGAAAAGTAAATCCAAACCAAAGTATGAAAACAAAAAGAATCAAAGTGCCAGAGCCCCGAAGGGGTCAAATGACCAGGTCCAACTTTTTAATAAGTTTGGATCTCTTGAGGACATGGATGTGTCCGACCATACCCATGGTAGGACACATAGCTTGTCACCCTCAAGGAAGGTGAGGGGTAGATCTCCTGTCCATCCGCCAAAGAAATAATGTCTTCACCCATAATACAATGGAACTGTAGAGGACTCCGGAATAATTTAAACAATTTACAGTTATTAAACCAAGATTTTAAACCGTCAGCTTTCTTCATCCAAGAAACCTACCTGAAACAGGCAGATAACGTTGACTTCCGTCAGTTCAATGCATATCACTGTTTTCTCCTCCAGGTGATAGAGCTTCTGGTGGATCATCAATCCTGGCGTGAACAATATTATCCATAGCTTAGTTCCACTTAAAACAAATCTTCAAGACGTTGCAGTTCGACTTACATTACAGGTCGCTTTTACTTTAGGCTCTCTGTATATTCCGCCTTCATTGGCTGTCCAACTAACTGATCTGTAAGCTCTGTATGATCAACTACCTAAACCCTGTATAATCATGGGTGATTTAAACGGCCACAAGCCGCTCTGGGGTGGCACTAATATAAACACCAAATGTAAATTACTCGAGGAATTTATTTCCAATAATCATTTATGCATTTATAATGATGGCTCAAATACGTAATAACTATTTACATCCTGGCACAGGAACATATTCAGCTCTTGATTTGTCTATTACTGACTCACTCGAACCTATTGAGTGAATTTGAATGGTCAGTCCACGACGATATCTGTGGTAGTGACCATTTCCGAACAATACTAAAACCTGTGAATCCATCTGATGTTCTTCCATCATGGAGATAGGATTTTAAAAAGGCTAACTAGCCTTTATATAAAATTATCGAGTGTATCCCCAAATTCCTCTGCAATTCCACACGTACGAAAACCATGGTTTAACGATGAATGCAAACAGGCTAGGAAGGCACGGAAGAAAGCTGAGCACTATTTCCGTCGCCATCCCATGGTCCAGGCGTCATTTTCGCAGCCATCCTACTGTACATAACTTAAATAATGTAAAAATCAGTTATGCTAAGGCGCGACGAACGTTTAAGCACATTAAGGGTCGTACTTGGAAAAAATACGTTTCCAAAATAAATTCCCGTACTCCAATGTGAAGGGTATGGAATATGGTCCAAAAAATCAAAGGCAAGGGTTCCAAGTCTAGTAGTACATACATACATACATACATACATACATACAAATACTTCTATAGCGCCAGAATCCGATGTAATCGCCCAAAGGCGCTCTGAGTCCACGCTGGAGCTAAAGGTAAGCTTTGGTAAAAAGATGAGTCTTTAACTGGCTTTTAAAAGATGCAAGTTCAGTCAGTGATCGAAGTTCTTGTGGTAGATTTTTCCAGAGTTTTGCACCATTTGAAGAGAATGCTCGGTCACCAAAAGACTTTGTTCTTGTACATTGAATTTGCAGAAGAGATTGGTCACTGGAGCGAAGAGATCGGGTTGGCACATAGTGTTTTACAAGTTGTGAAAGATACCCTGGAACCAGTCCGTGGATACATTTAAAAACAAGAAGCAATACTTTGTATTGGATTCTGAATTTGATTGGGAGCCAATGGAGATTTTTCATGACAGGGGTAATGTGGTCAATTTTCTTTGTTCTGCTGATCAATCTTGCGGCTGAATTCTGAACTCTCTGTAGTTTGTGTAGTACATGATTTGGAATACCACTGAGCAACGAGTTGCAATAATCAATGCGTGATGTTACATACGCCTGCACCAGAGCACTCGTTGTTTTCTCGTCAAGGTACCTGCGTATCAGGCCGATATTCCGAATATGGAAATAAGCGCTGCGACAAACACCGTTGACATGTGGTTCCATGCAGAGAGATGAGTCAAATACTACACCAAGATTCCGGACTTGAGAACTTGGTGTGATTTCACAGTGCCAAATAGAGAAAGTGGGAAGATCAAGTTTTGCCCGGAGCCGCTGGGGTCTGAAAACGATGAGCTCGGTTTTGTCGTCATTTAATTTCAACCAGTGCGTTGTCATCCAAATTTTAATACAGTCAACACATTCCTGGACTGCTGCGAATGTGAAAGATGTTGAGGCAGAATCGAGTGGCTTGAAGGACACGTAAATCTGTGTGTCATCCGCATAAAGATGCATACTGAGGTTAAAGGACCTGACAATATCACCAAGAGGGGTTGTGTAGGCAGTAAAAAAGCAAAGGGCCCAGAACTGAGCCTTGTGGTACCCCAACACTAAGTCACTAGACAGCGACATTTGACCTTGAATAACCACTGATTGTTTCCTGTCTGAGATGTAGGACTTGAACCACTTTAACACGACGCCTTTGACATTGAATCTTCCTTCAAGAGTGGCTAGAAGAACACTGTGGTCAATCGTGTCAAAAGCGGCTGAAAGGTCCAACAAGATGAGAATGGAAGCACCGTCCTTGTCAATACCCATGAGTATGTCATTCTGGACTTTGACAAGTGCCGTTTCCGTGCTGTGGAAGCAGCGGTAAGCTGATTGATAGACTTCATGCAACCCATTGCTGTCCATATGATCCTTGAACTGTGTTGCAGCTATGCGTTCAATCAATTTGGAAATGAAAGTCAAATTGGACACGGGTCTGTAGTTTTTCAACAGTTCATGGTCCAGGTTCTTCTTTTTGATGAGTGGGGTAACAACTCCTGTCTTTAATTGTTGGGGCATAACGCCCTCCGCAAGCGATTCATTGACCATGTAAGTCAGTATAGGGAGAAGAGAATCAACATTCTCCTTGAGAAGCCAAGTGGGCAAAGGATCAAGCATGCACGTTTTTGAAGGGCATCTTGAGACAAGTTTATGAATTTCAACTTCTGTCACTGATTTGAAGTTTTCAAAAGCTGGGAAGCTTATTTCGGAAGGATCATTGCTTGGCTGATCAGCTCGGGAGTCGTAACTATTACGAAGTGAGTGACGAATAGTTCTTATTCTCTCGCTAAAGAAGGATGAAAACCGGTTCGCCAGCTCCTCCAGGGATACGTGAGATGGAAGAACAAGAGACTTCTGTTTAAAGAATAGTCGGTTGGCAACTTTAAAAACCTCTTTCTGACCAGTCGCCTGACTTAAAGCCTCTTTATAAAACTTGCATTTAGCAGCTTCAATAAGGGAAGCCAGTTCGTTGCACTGCTGATTGTGTATCTGTCTGTGCACCTCAAGCTTGGTCTTCCTGTACTGGCGCTCAAGTTTGCGCCTCTGTCTTTTAGCAGCACGAATGTCCTCGTTGAACCAGGGCGATTCTGGATGAATTGTCACTGTACAGGACTTGACAGGAGCGTGTTTGTCGGCTAGCTTCGTCAACTCTGAGTATTCAGCATCTCAAAGATGATAATGACATACTAACTGAAAAATCTTATATTGCAAACAAGTTGGGTGAAACTTTGGCTAAACATTCGTCCTCCTTAAATTATAATAAAAAAATTCAGGCTTATCAAACACAATAAGAAAACAACAAAATATATTTTCAATCTGATAATGGTGAAGATTATAATGAGGTATTTTCACAACATGGTCTTCACACTGTTTCACAAGCTCATGATAATGCAACAGGACCTGATGATATCCACTACCAACTCTTAAAACTCTTGCCTGAATCTTGTGTTGAAACTTTACTTAAAGGTCACATGCAACGTAAAACACAACTTTGCAGATTCTGATACCTTATAAAGTTGAAAAATAACGCGATGAAAAAAAACGCGAAAAATCGGAGTCCAAACGTTTCACTAATTTTCCCCAGACTTTTCTGGGAAAACGGGTTTCAACAGCTGGGCTGCGCTCATAGCACGTGCGCAAGTAAATAGGTTCGCGCAGCTTGGAACCGGGTTGTCGGGTGAACACTCGGTGAAGGCTTTGGTGTGAGCTATTTTTCTAATGTTTTGTTGATATCTCACAGGCGCGAGCTTTTTATATGTTATGACAGTAAATTAACTGTCTATATGTAATTTCATTTGTCTATTTCACCACACGTTCTTCTTACCGAGACACTTTCTCAGTTCGATACTTAAAAGCAATGTCATTATTTAGCGTTGACAGAATTTCTAACTGTGATATAGATATGTCGTTGTCACAGACAAAACTCAATGTCTTGTTTTATTGACACCTGTGTGTCTCCCTGCCTGTCTGCTAATGACAAAATCAATACACAGCTGCTATCACTGACCACATGCAATTTGAACACCAATCAGGTTATACACCATAAACAAAATGCATTGATTTATGGCCCGAGTTCGGTCTCTGTCACATTATGTAATTACACAGACAGGCAGGTGTGATACTTGAACACATGACATGTTATGATGTCTGTTGATTGCAAAATGTTACACACAAAAAATGAGCATGTATTTACAAAACCCAACATCTCTCTCTATATATATACACACACAATTAGCCGTGAAGGCATCTGCAAATGAACCAGCCGTTACACTTGAGTGCACACCCACCCGCTCTGACTGGGTTCGGTATCCCGGCTGCTTCGTTTCTTGGGAAGTAAACCGAAGCACACAATTTTGCACTTTCGATTTGCGATTGTACGCTTATAATTTTGTTTATATATTTTTTCGTAACCAGCAATGTATATTATATGTCATGAATAAGTGATAATTGTGTTTTAATTATGTTTGATTTTTTGGTTGCATGTGACCTTTAACATTTTAACCATATTTGGACAACGGGAAATTGTCCTCCTTCATGGCGAAACGCCATAGTTGTTCCTGTTCCAAAGCCTGGCAGGGATCACACAGATCCATCTACTTATCGACCTATTTCCTTAACTAGCTGTGTTTGTAAAACCATTGAGCGAATGGTTAAGAATCGATTAGTTTGGTTTTTAGAAACCAACAATCTAATCAGTGATATACAATGTGGTTTCCGTAAAAACCGAAGTACGACTGACCACTTGCGGTATCCATCTTTTTTTATCTTGAAAAAGCTTATGACACCACTTTGAAGCATGGTATTTTAAAAGATTTGCATGCTTTTGGGTTGAGAGGTCGCTTGCCACAATTTATATCTATTTTTTTAACCGACAGACAGTTTCAAGTCCGTGTGGGATCAACCTTGTCGGACATCTTTAATCAAGACCAAGGTGTTCCACAGGGCACTACATTGTCTCTGACTTTATTCAGCATTAAAATCAATAGCCTTTCAAGGGTTTTAAGTGATTCAGTTGATGGATCATTATTTGTGGATGATTTTAATGTTTCTTGTAGAGGTAGAAATATGCATACAATAGAGAGTGAGTGAGTTAGTATTTAACGTCACATCGGCAATATTTCAGCCATATCGTGACGAGAACATTTGACATACAATAGAGAGACAATTACAAATTTGTCTCAATTAAATTGAAAAATGGTCACTTGAAAACGGGTTTAAATCTTCTATAACAAAAACTAATTGTATACATTTCTGCAGAAAGTATAAACCGCATAAAGATCCAGAATTATTTTTAAACGGCACCCCCATCAAAGTAGTTAAGGAGGCTCACATTTAAATTTTCTGCCACACATTAAGTCACTTAAAGCTAAATGCCTGAAGGCACTTGATCTGTTAAAAGTCGTTTCAAATTCGCCCCCAAAGTGGGGAGGGAACCAAACTACCCTACTACACCTATACAGATCTCTAATCCGTTCGAAACTTGATAACGGCTCCATTGTATACGTGATTCTATCCATCACCAAGGTCTAAGACTTTGTCTTGGATCTTTTAGAACTTCTCCTATGGACAGTCTTAACCAACGCCGTATAAAATTATCCTTGCAGTATGTAACTAAACTATCTTCTAACGAGTCAAATCCTGCATTTAAGTGTGTTTTTAATCCTCTTTACAAGGATCTTTACAACAAAAAGTCTTCTCTTGTTCCGCTTCTTGGGCACAGAATTAAACCATACATTTCTGCTGCCGGCATTGAGCGGGAAACTATAGCGCCTATCCGTCTTCTTTCTTCTCCTCCTTGGCAGTTGGTTAGGCCCCAAGTTGACCTAACTTTGACCACATTTAAAAAATCAGAAACTAATGAATTACAGTATAAACAAGAATTTCGTCAGTTAAGAAATAAATATATAATATACTGAGTCAAAAAAGAAACTTCAATTCTTTCTTCAGGGCACTATAAAAGAACAAGAGATGGTAAGATGGTTAAATTGTTAATATTTCATTGCTGAGATCTGTGTGATGTACTCGATACACTGACAGTGCCATAATCAGTTCCATTAGGCTACACCGCCGTTCCAAAACATGGGTATACAGAATGTCAAGTCACAAGAATAAAAATGCAAAATTTCTCAGTTCAATATCGTGTATGGCCGCCCCGCGCATTCACCACTGCCAAACACCGTCTCCTCATCGACTGCCTGATGCTTGTGAACACGTGGTTGGGGATTCTGCGCCATTGGTCTTGCAAGGCAGCGCCAAGTTCCTGCAAATTCTGAGGTTGGTTCCTAAGACCACGAAACCTTCTCCCAAGTGCATCCCAAACGTGCTCGATTGGATTAAGGTCAGGGGACCTCGATGGCCAGTCCATGACGTTGATTCAAGCGTTTTGAAGGATATTTCGTGTCAATATCGCGGTATGCGGCCGAGCATTATCATGCTGGAACTGTAGACCTGGGCCATGAGCCGCCATGAAAGGAACGAGTTCAGGGGTGAGCACCTGGTCGCGGTAAGCAGCAGCTGTGAGGTTTCCACGGATGACCAGAAGTCGGGGACGGTTGTTCCCACAGAAAGCACCCCACACCATGCAACTTCGCCCCCGAATCTGTCGACTTCCTGTACACAACATTGGGCATACCGTTCACGACGTCGTCTCCAGACTCTATGCCTGCCGTCTGCGAATCTGAGGGTAAACCTGGATTCATCGCTAAAGACGACTCGATTCCAATCTCTCTGGGTCCATCGGAGGTGACGTTGGGCCCACAGCAGACGTTGACGTTGATGAAACGGCGTCAATATTGGCCCACGATATGGATGTCGAGAATGGAGATTGGCAGCCCGCAACCGATTTCGAATGGTCTGTGAGGACAGTCGACCTCTAAACATCTCAGCCCTGGTTCGTATAGCCGGCAGAAATCTGTCACGTCAATAACTGATCTTCCCGCTTGCAACATGCCAACGGCAAGTTCACGTTGCACATTTGACAATCGTGGCATATCAAGTACCGTTAGAACTGTGGTTTAAAAGTGTTTTTTCAATTCTTGAGGCCAATGCAAACACGTGCATATGAAGAAAACTTCGATGCGAAGATCACGTGATCGACTGCACGTGCAAAACCTGATTTGGCACTAACGTCATTTGCACGACGAATGGATGGGTTTGAGTGGGTTTTGCTAACGTTTTGCTAACGTTTTGCTAGAGTCGAAAGATAGGGATCCCATTTCGGATGCATAGATGTATCATCAGAGAAACATTATTCATTATTTTTCAAATTACATTTTGTGAAGTTTCTTTTTTGACTCAGTATACATATAAATCCTTATTTACAGATGGATCCAAGGATGGTGGCGGTGTAGCTTGTGCCACTGTCATTGGGTCAAGAACAATATCTTCTCGATTGCCTGATAACAGCTCTATTTTCACGGGGGAAGCTAACGCCATATTAACAGCTTTAAAATATATTACCTCACACCGTAAATATAAACAATATATAATCTTTTCTGACTCTCTTTCTTGCCTTCAGGCGATTAAAAACATTCTTCCTAACATCCACTTTTAATTGAAATTATTGAATTATATAATGATCCTGCTACTGGCCAATGAGACATCGTCCTCTGTTGGTTACCCAGCCACGTTGGCATTTCTGGGAACGCACTGGCCGATCTTGCTGCCAAGGCAGCACTCAACAAATCTGTGACACCACTTCTTCTTCCTTACTCTGATTACAAAGCTAGCATTAGAACCTACTTCCGAGATCTGATGCAGAAGAAGTGGGACACCCAAGTAGGTATCAATAAATTACATGAAATAAAACCCACTATCGGTCACACCTACTTGGGTTAGATATACTCATGCATACCTATTGAAAGGTGAGGATCCTCCATTTTGTATCCCTTGTGATGAGAGAACCACGGTCAAGCACGTCCTGCTGGACTGTGTTGAATTCTCCATTATAAGGGATAAATACTTTACTGTGAAAACAGTTAAGGATCTTTTTAATACTGTTAATTTTCATTTAAGTATTGTTTTTTTCAAAGAAATTGACTTAATAGATGAAGTTTAATAATATGTTCTGTAGAAAGTTGTATTTTATTATTGGTAGTTTAGATTAGTAACTGAGATTGTTAGTGGCTGTACCCTCAAAGGGGGTTGAAGTAGCCTAAAACTATTGTCCTCCTGAGAGGGTACGTGAGTCCAGAAACATTCAAAGGAAATTTAAATTTACCAGTTGTTTTAAATGTAGCTAAATTCACTTCAATCGCCAGCGGCTGAAGGGATGATATAAATCCAGCTAGGGTCCATGCAGGTAGCGAAAGTACTGTAAGTCCCCATGGTCCCTAATTTGGTGATCTACCTTCAGTTGTTGGCGATCTATAGCCAGTTTTTATATTGTATTGTCCAAATAGTGCTATTAGTTTTAACTTTCCACACTAGTTTTAGTTGTAATCGTGATATTCTAGTTGTTTTACTGTCCTTCGTCGACAGGTTTTTATCATATACTTATATTCTATTTCAATGTCAAATATGTTCTCGTCACGATATGGCTGAGATATTGCCGATGTGACGTTAAATATTAACTCACTCACTCACTCACCCCTATGATCCACAATTTGGACATATTTAGAATTTTAAATGCTCAAGCACGGCGTACTTTCAAGCAAAGTAAACGCCACTCTTGTCGAAACTATGTCTCAAAAATCAGTTCGCGCACGCCGATATCAAAGGTGTGGGATATGATCCAGAAAATCAAAGGTAAGGGGTCTAAATCTAGCATTCACCACCTGAAAGATGGGAACAAGTATTAACCAATAAATCTGATATTGCAAATAAGCTTGGTGAGACGTTGGCCAAACATTCTTCCTCCTCTAATTATGTACCTGAATTCCAAAAATGTCAAAAACAGCAAGAAAAGAAAGCTATTAATTTCAATTCAGATAATGGGGAAGACTACAATGAAACCTTTTCAATACATGAGCTTCATACTGCTCTTGATCAGGCTCACGATACTGCTTTTGGAGCTGATAACATGCATTATCAACGCCTGAAGCACTTGCCAGAGCCATGTTTTTATACAACAAAAATCTTCTCTTGTTCCGCCTCTTGGGCACAGAATTAAGCCATTCATTTCTGCTGACATTCAATCTGAAACTAATGAATTACAATATAAACAAGAATATAATTTATTAAAAACTAAATATAATACATACAAATCCTTATTTACAGATGGGTCAAAGGATGGTGGCATGTGCGACCGTCATTGGATCCCGAACAATATCTTCTCGAATACCAAACAACAGCTCTATTTTCACAGCAGAAGTTAACGCCATATTAACATCTCTTAAATACTTTTCACAGCAGAAGTTAACGTCATATTAACATCTCTTAAATACATTAATAAACACCGTAAATATAAACAATACATAATCTTTTCCGATTCTCTTTCGTGTGTTCAGGCAACTAAAAATCGTTCTTGTAAACATCCACTTTTATTATTGAATTGTATAATGAGCTTGCTACTGGCCAATGCGACATCGTCTTTTGTTGGTTAGGCAGCCACGTTGGCATTTCTGGGAACACAATGGCTGATCTTGCTGCCAAG